GGGTGCAGCAGGCGCAATGATATTACGCAGCGCCTGAAAATAGTCCCCAGCTAGGTAACTTCCAACGGAAGGCACGCTCCCTGTGCAAGCTCATGTTGGTTATGTTGACGGAAGTTAGCCTATTTTCAGGCGCTGGGTAATATCATTGCACCTACTGTACCCATGGTACGGCAGCAAAGTTCCTTGATTATTACGCCGGAATGAGATGCTAACGGTCTAATCAGATTCAATGATCTATGCTAAGCTAAGCTAAAAGTGCTACCGCCAGACCCGGAGATCGGCTGAATGGATTCTAAAACGGTAAAACTCAACTGTTTAACTCTAGGGGAGTTGGAAAATGAGCCTAATTTCAAAAATAGTGGAGTGTTCCTTGAAGTTTTAAATACCAATGCCAGTAGAATTGTTTCATATTTCTTCTTTTATCACAACTTGAATGAAAGCGCTAAAATTAGAGTTGTAAGGGCATCAAACAAAGGTGATTCTTGGTGCAGATGCAGACAGTTTCAAGCTATTGAAGAAATACATTTTTAGAGCAAGGAGGAGAAATCAGTGTTATTTTATATACAATTATAGTATTTATTAATTTAATAATGTTTTGAATCAGCTTTTATTTTATATTTTTAATGTTTTGTTATTTGTTATCTTTTTGTTATTTTGATTATTTCGAACTGTTTTAGTTAACATTTCAGTTTTATCAACTTATTTATGTCAGTTAGTTTCCAAAGCAACATTTCTCATTTTCATTCAAGTTTTTAAGCTTATTTTTTCATTTAATATTTAGATTTTTATTTCAGCTTTATTTCAATCAATAAAATAAATCGTTTTAGTTTTACCTAACAATAACAACACTGCATGAATTAGAATAGAGGTGTTAAATTACTAACAGTTTTGTAATACAGTTAGAATTTAATAAAATATGAATATTAGATACAAAACTTAAACAAAAAAGAGAAATGTGTTTTCCTCTTTTTCCTCAAGTCCACTATCATCTCCTTTGTCTTGTCCGTGTTGAGGGTGAGGTTGTTGTCCTCACACCATGCCACAAGACTGGCCACCTCCCTCCTGTAGGCCGCTTCATCCCCGCCAGTGATCCGTCCTATCACTGCGGTGTCGTCAGCGAACTTCAGTATTATGTTGTCCTTGACGGAGGCAACACAGTCATGTGAGAACAGTGTGTAGAGGATGGGACTGAGAACACACCCTTGTGGGGTGACAATGTTTGTTGTGACAGTGTCTGAGGTCCTATTTCCAATCCTAACACACTGCGGTCTGCCAGTCAGGAAGTCTAGGAGGCAGTCACAAAGTGTGGGGTGTAGTCCAAGTACAATCAGTTTTTGGGTGAGTTTGTGAGAATGAATCCAGCATGTAGCATTAGTAACTAATACATGTAATAATAATAATAATATTAGCATTAATAACAACTATATTATACGAGCAACGATTTTAATAATTCTACATTTTAATTTTCTTTATAAAATAAACACTTATTTAATACAGTCACAAATGAATACACACTCTGTTGCCGTTGATTTTGCATTTACACTCAGTTGTGTAACTCTAATGGCTGGAATTGACCAATCCTATGATGGCGAAGGCTAGTTGTAAATATTAATTAGATTAGCCGACGTTGCTTGGTAACCTTCCTGAAGCGTCCCTGCCGTTACCTTATGAATATTCATTGTGCAACTCTTTCCGTTTTCGTTAACGCCCACTTACCAACGTCTTCCTTTCATCCAATCAGTTAGAACGCTTCGATGATGCGTCATTAATATTCATGAGCGCGACTGCCCGTGCGCGGCCACGCAGATGCTTGAGCGCGCGTCGGCAGCGGTAACGCGCAGGAAAAGGAGCGAGATCCCGGCGAGAGGAGCAGCATCATGAGCTCTAGAAAAGGTGAGAGACATCGGTCCCTATCTAGTGCACACTACATAGCCATCAGCGCTCATTTCATTGATATGTAGGCAGAATGAGCTTGTGTTTGTTTGAGCGATGCTTCTGTCACTGATGCGTTTCTCCCGGTTCTCCGCTCCAGTGCTGGCCATTCAAGCGCGGAAGAGAAGGCCGAAAGGAAAGAAAGATAAGACGGGTCACCATCGCAGGTAAGGAGGGCGGTGTGTGTGTGCGCGTGCGCGCTCAGCTCGTGGAGGTCAGTTACTAATGGCAACGGCTGTGCGTGTCGCGCCACTTCCTCGTGTTGACAGTCTATCAGCCGGAGACACGCGTTAATGAAACCCTTCAACATCTCCACAAATACCATCACCAATAACAGCAGCTGTGAGTGTGAGTGTGTGAGAGAGAGAGAGAGTGTTTGTGTGTGTGTGAGTGTTTG